CGGGGTTGGGTTTTCGTCGCTTGGCAACGACGTTGTAAAACAAGCCCCCCCCATCGATGTTTGCCATCGGGATTGGGTTTTCGTCGCTTGGCAAAGACGTTGTAAAACAAGCCAATTCACTTCGTGAACCGGGCAACCAGGTTACCGTTTTCTTTTCACCTCTGCCTTTTTTTTTTTTTTTTTGGCGGTAACCATAATGGTGGTCGAGTAGATCATGTTGTGCGGGGTGGAGAACCCTCACTCCGCGCAAGGGGGATGATCGCACCACGTTGTGTTAAAATGGTCAAGCACCCTCGAGGCAGTTACACAGTGCTTACAACTGTCTCTGGAAGTGAAAGCACCAGAAAGTAAATTAAGTCATACGCAGCTGTCATCCGTACGCAAGGGAGTAAGCACAAGATGCCGAAAACCCTTAGCAGGATGCAGCGCACCCTTCATGCGACTCGCCGAATATCTCACGGCGCTTCGCGCTTGGTGATGTGAGAGCCTGGTCCGGTGAGAACCCGGCGTGCTCCGTCCCGGCTTTGTAGGGATGCGAGGTCAACGGTCGAACGACTACGGCATGCACGACTACGAGGTCACCCCCCGGGGTGCCTGTTTCAAGCTCACCCCCCCCACCCCCCTATGCCGATGCTGGCCGAGGAGAATGAGACATACGCCCCGAAGGGGGGGCGAAGGAAAAAATAATAGCGGCTAGTTGGTCGGGGTGATGTGGCGCCACGCGATGCTATGATCGCAAGACAGGGCATGTCGCTAACAGGGGGTATGGCCGGAACCGGCAACTACCGTCGCCCCTTTTTCAAGAGAACGGCAATCGGTCTTTCGCGCAAAAAAACGCCAAAGAAATAGGGAAAGACAAACGACAATATAACTCTGGGGTAATGCCGCTTGGAGAAAGGGCCATGACCGGTGTTACTAGCTTTCGGAACTCTACACCCGAGATCGAAAGGCGTGTGTATCCACCAGTACCTTCGCGCTGCTTTTTATTTAATTTTGGGAGGTGCGTGGACGGACAAACCTCGCAATGTCTTCACGTTGAACACAATGAAAGCATGTGGTTCAGCATCCCTTCGCGAAGAAGTTACCGTAGTACGATCACCATTTGCTTTTCCAACGAAAGACACCCCGGACAAATATCATCACGTTTGCATTTTCATCCTGAACATGGGGCTTGCACTCGTTTACCTCGCAATTCCTTCACGTTGAACACAATGAAAGCATGTGATTCAGCATCCCTTCGCGAAGAAGTTACCGTAGTACAATCACCATTGTTTTTCCAACGAAAGACACCCCGGACAAATATCATCACGTTTGCATTTTCATCCTGAACATGGGGCTTGCACTCGTTTGCAAAAAAAACAACGAGGCCACCGTAGCGATACGAACGAACACAGAACACGATCCAGGAGGCCAAAAATCCGATAGCCTGAGCACACACATTATTCTCAATTTGCAGAGGTAAGACAGGGCCTTAGATCCCCCCTGCCCTCGATACACCCTGCCTTGCTTTCGCACCCCTACCCTCCTATTTTCTCGCTTGGTCGCGATGACTTAACTGCCATGATCACCACAACCCCTGCCCGCCGGCGTACCTTCTGCCTAACTAATCTTACATTTCGCTGCAGAGGATGGGGTCGTCGGCATCTCTGTCAAATTCACTAAACACTAAACATGCGTAAGTGCCCCGTTTCTGTTTATTCTGTTGCTATCTTGTTTCAGTCAAGATTGATTTCTCGACGGGACCCCCACCGACGCCAAAAAAAAAAAAAACATGCCCCGTTCGAGACCTGTTCACGACAGCATGAACAACAACGTGGTGCCGCTATGCAAAGGCAACGCGGTGCCATGTAAAGGCAAGCTGTTTCTTTGTTGCCTTCTTTCCGCTCTCGGCACACTCAAACCCTGCCGGGAGCACAAGAGTACCGTATATGACACAAGATAACACGCCCCCTCGACCAATTTTCGAAGCTCGATTTCTCAACTGCAGGAACAGTCACAGCGCCGAAGACGGCGGCGTTGAAACCGTCTCGTCGAGAGCTTTTCGAAATGTATCGTTTCGTTTATGCATCCTCTTCGTCGTGGAGTAATCGAGCTTTGAAATCGGTCCAGAGGGTCTCGTGTCATATACGGTACGCACAACAGGGGGGGGGGGCGCCCTCTCGACAAGCGACACAAGCAGCGCTCAGGCACGGAAGACCACACGCCGTGTAGATGGAATGCACACAGGGCATTTACACAATAAGGTCAAATTCCCAACCGATATTTTTCTCTCCCTCGCACTCTGTCTGCCTGTCCGTCTCTCTCCATCCCTCACTGACTCTGTCCCACCCCCACCCCCCCTCCTCGCTCTTTTGCCCGCTCAAAAAAGAACGAGGTGTAGCATTGTCAGCATCAAGATGGCCATCACGGAACACAATAGGGAAGGACCAGAAGAGGAAGCACGCAGAAAAGGGAATCAAGAAAAAAGGGCAAAAGATACATACCATATATTTCAGCAAAATACCAACCCAACTCATCAGCGGAGACGAGAACCCTTCTTCGAATCGCACAGCCAACAACAATTTTGGGATGTATATATATATATTGCACATCATCCATAAAAAAACAGTGACTCGCTACGTTCAGCTGGAACCGGAACCGTCGTCCCAATCAGAGAGATCAGACAGGTCGGACAGATCGGACAGGGTCTCGCCCTCCAGCGAGGATCCCGAGCTTACGCTGGAGCAGTCTGAACTCGAGTAACCCCCATCGGGGGCCGCGCCGTGGCGAGCCCCGCTGTGCCCCTCAGGCGGCATCATCCCGCGAGGCTTGGGTTTGGAGTGCACCTGAAACGTGGCCGCCATCGTTCGTTGCACACGAAATTTCCATGGTGGACAAGGAACGGGGGTAAGTTACAGCAGTCTGTGTCGCCCCTTCGGAATCCGGAATTCGGCTCGGGCAACGCATGAGAAAAAAACGGCTCCCCATACTCTCTCCCTCTCTCTCTCTCTGACACGACAAACCGGCATGAAGTTTTGCCTGGGATCCAAAAGAGCAAATATGAAAAGTAGCGTACGCACCGCACCCCAGTTCTTTCGTGAGCTTCGTACTCCTTTCGTATTTTTCACGTTGCAGAATAGCGCTGTGTTTTGAGGCATTTATCGTCACCATGGGACGGAACGGATAATTTTCTGCCATGGGATGGAGCGGAACCATCAAGCCAACGAATGATGGCACAGAACACGGGCGTGCACCATGAACAAACACGCTCAAGCGTTCTTCCCGCGCGCCGCGCCGCGCCGACCACCTATCACCCACCTCGCCCTTCATCATCTTCTTGAGCTTGGACAGCTTCTTGAGCCTGCGCTTGGCCTTCTTGTACGCGTCGGGTTGCAGCTTGTGCTTCAAAGTCTTGCAAAGAACAAGCGTTTGGATGCGGGGGGAGCGGCGGGCGGTAGGTGATACTTTCATGTGGCAACAGGAGATTGGACGTGACAGGAGGTGTGGCATGGACGAGTAAACAACGGACCATCACTGTAGAACAATTATCTGAGAAATATCCGTCAATCCACTTCGGACTTTCTTAAGTCAAGCATGCTGATGTTGACAGGTGAAATGATTGAACTGTAAAACCATTTGACTACTGCAGGTCGCTGGTGATGCTTGTGAAGCAACAAAACGGTGGTGGTGGAAGGGGATTGAAATTCCTCGTAGATAAGGAGAGTGGAAACCAGTTGAAATGAAAGCAGGGAGGGGTGTGGAGGGCTGGTATTCTGACGAGTATTTATTGGCGCAAGGGATACCAGCGAAATGTTGTGTTTCACGAATGAATGCGACAGCAGCAACAACAACAATGACGACGACGACGACGACGACGACGTTACCTGTCCTGGGTTCGATGCCTGATGGGCGGTGCGCTTAGCCTTCTTGTAGATGTCGGGCTGCACCTTGCGCTTGGTGGCCTGCCCCGGGTTCTGCAGGTCTCGCTTCAGCTTCTTCACCTTCCTCATCTTCGCCTTGAGCTTCTTGTACTCGCTGCTTTCGTTGTTTTTATTCATGACGGCACATGACGAGAACAAGACCATTCTTTTACCGCAATGTGGAACGCGGCGGGGTGGAGCACAAGGTTTTGTTGCACACCATAGGTAGGCACCAGATCCCCCAGAAGGTGCGGATTTGCTAACCGCTGCCTAGGTACAAATAGCTACCTTGGTTCACCGCCTGTCGCCCCGGTGGTCTTGTGGGAAACCTCGCAGCGTGCTAAGGGCCATGTCATGGGTTCTAGTCCCGGCAGAGTGAGTTTTTTTCTCACTAATTAAATCCTGGTCCCCGTTGGATGCGACGCGCTGCAAAGCTCGTTCTTAGTAAAGTTGATCGATTTCATAAGTCGCGAGGGAAGGGATTGGTGTGTGTGTGGGGAGGTTGTTGTGTTTTCGTCCTATTTATTATGGCAACAGTCCCCCCATTTTTCGTGGTGAGATGTGTCCTGCACTTTGTTTCAGCGCATGTAGAGTACTGCACTTTCAGTGTATTTTTTCGTACAACTACAACCATCCAGGGTCACACACGACGGGGTAAAAACCAGGGCTTTTTTCTTCTGTTTTTATTATTTCTTTTCATGCCCCACCTTACTCCTGCGGTGCGTGCTGAGTTATATTTTTATCGCGAGAAGGGTCCAGCCGTCCCTTTCCCTCGTCAACGGTGCTTACGTCGAAGTTTGGTACTCACGAAAGCTTGTCAGCTATATTTCGCTTTCACCCGCACATTTCGAAAAATTTTCACCCCATGGGGATTCGAACTCACGACCTCGGCAACTATTTTGGGGTACCCTTCTCGCGATAAAAATAACTCAGGCAGGAATTGCAGAAGGGGGTCCAACCCCCCCCCCCTCCGAAGTGACCCCGGTTGGGTCGTCTAGCTAGTAGAAATGGAGGATGGGGGTCAGAGGGGCAGAAGACAGATTCCAATGATGGGAGAAAAAAAAAATATATAGTAGCTGCTGCTGTGTCTTCCCCGATCGAAGAGCTCGGACAACGACCGTTGCCCTTGGGCCAACGGCCAACAAGAAACACAAATATACCCCAACCACACGCCTCTATCGGCGGCCACGTCAGGAGGCAATGATGATGTAATGTTCTTCCGTGCCCTTCTCACATTGAACGATATGCCAATTACACAACGAGGTGAATATGTTCTCCCGCGCCGCACATGCTCGCATACATCACGTACATAATAGAACACCCGACAAACCGACTTCCCCTAAATCTTCCGTCTACAACTTCCCAACATAACATACAGATAGATACACAAGGTGGCTACCAAACTGCCTTGTTGAGCCTGTTCCCCACAGGGAAGTTATCGTAGCATGCTGTCTGGGAAACCGTAGACATACAGGTAGCCTTTCGCTCACGCTATTGCTGATCTATCTTAGTCTAGACTTATTTCTATAGATGGAGATGGATTTGTTGTGTGATAAATAAGAAAATAAAAAATATAGTCTATGTAAGTGCGCATCACAAATTGTGCTCCAGGTAGCAAGTGCCCACCCTCAGTGAGCTACCCGCAGCGGCTCTCAACACACCCACTCTGCGACCTGCAAACACCACGCCAACCACTCTCATGTTGTCGGGTGGGATTCGCGTTGCTAGTGTGGCAGGGATTGTTACAAACAGAATGTACCCGCCCCCATCTTGCGCCATCTTGCACCGACAAGTTCGCCCGCTGCCAAGCAGCAGCAGCAGCAGCAGCATGCACACACCACGCGGCACAGCATGGGCTCCGTCAGATAACCCAACGACACAGCTACCGTGTCGCACGTCGCTGCAGCTGTCGTACACCGACAAATCTACCCTCGCGCTGGCTCAGATGCAGCATTCGTTGTCTACAGGTCGATGGACTTCTCGTTTCCCTCCCTGCCCCCTCCGAGCGAACTCTCTGTTGGGGGTGCGACGGAATGTTGATGGTCACACGCTATCCTCCCACACCTGTATGACGACGACATCTTCTAGCTGCGTGTCTCTGTTCTCCTCTGAACTCCCGAGGTCCTGCTCCTGTGGCGTAGGGGAAGAGTAAGAGTTTGTGTGTGTTAGCGAGGAGGAAGAGGGAGTGGGGTTGTTGTGATATTGTTGTCATGGTGGGAGTCATCAAGCCACGAGCGGCGAAACAATTCAGATTCCAACATGGCGGGACTGTAAGCCGTAAACCAACGGTACAAGCACCCGTAGCTTCAACCACTGCTGTTGTACTCCACTACTGCTGTATATATCAATGTTGATAACTCGCGCTGTCGTCCTTGGCCACTTGCCACCCAACAGCAGCGTCAACATACAACGCGTTTCCGGATCATTTCTTTTATTCGTCGAACACTCTCGAGAGCTTCAGATTGAAAATCACGGAAATCCTCGGGTCTGGTTGTCTGGTTTGGTCGCGCGTTCTCTTCCGGTAAAACTTGAAGCTGGGAAGCAAGAAGCGCCATGACAGAAACGGTGTGTGCTGTGTAGTAAGGAACGGAGGAGCTGCTCCGGGAATCATAGAAACAAAGCAGTAGTTCGTTCACCATATGACGCTCGAATTCACTGTCAATCTATCCCGGGGATCTCTATCATCTGTGGTAGAGAGATATGGGGTTCGTCGTCCTCGAAGAACACGATAGTAAAAGTGGAAGAAAAAAACAAGGAAGCGACGGAAGCATCACACATCGTCAAGTTCATCATGCTGCCGGGAGGGTAGCCCCGACCTCTCCTCGAAGAAGACGATAACCGTGGAAGAAAAAAATAAGGAAGCGATGGAAGCATCATGTCGGGACACACATCGTCAAGTTCATCATGCTGCCGGGGTGGTAGCCCCGGCCTCAGCCCACGCAGCCGACCATCCATTTTGCGACAGCGGCTTGGCAAGCGCAAGAGCTGAACATGTATTGTTGCGATGGACCAAGTCCTGTTGACCACCTCCTCGTCATTGCATGCTGACAGCTACAGTAAATCTCATTAGTTGAGTCCCGACACAGGCACCGTAAGCAAATGTGAAGACGTATACTGCTCCGAACGGAAGCAGCCAGGGGCACAGCACAATCAATCTCATTTCATTACGCTCAACGGAGAAGGTCACAAACAGGACGATGACACCAAATGTCTCCACCAAAACCTTGCTGTAGTCAGCATAAGCATGCATGCATGCATGCATGCACTGATTTTTTTATTCGTATTTTGTATGCGCAGTAGTCTAGACTTGACTTTGGCAGAGACAAAACTCGTACTACATGATGCCCTAAACTAGCGCCGGCCCTCTGCAAACCAGTAGGCCCTGCTGCTCCTCTTCCCATCAACCAGTCCTCGATATATCGAGCACATGCAGAGGGAATTGTGTGCAACAAGGTTAGCAGTATCAACCGACCCTCATCGGCTACAGAGAGGCCATCGGCGACGACAGCGGCTCACGCATGGGGAGCGCGTGACCAACCATCCCTCTCGCTCCTTCCCTCCCCCGCTACAACCAGTGTCTCCACCCCGCCTCCAGCTCCTCCCCGTACCCCCCCCGCTTCCGTCTTCCCC